TGACAAACTATTTTCGAAAGCCTTGTTTTTAAACTGTATCCCTCATCATTTTAAAATTGAAATCCCTTAAAATTATGCAATATCCACTGTCCTCTAAAGAGTAGAGTGAATATTAATGGTACATGTTTGATGCTCAGGTTATTTATCTCTTGACCCCTCAAGATTTATCTTGAGACTCATATAGGTGAGGAGATTGAAAGTGGCTCTGGAATAATCTCTTGCTTTATTTTATGGATTTTATAAAGTTTTTACTATGTTTTGCTGGAAATGAACCAACAATGCAGCTGCCCTCACTGTTCCCCCGATCACCGCTCATCTCTGTGCTGCTCCCTGCTTCTCTCGCCTTTCCCTCCCTCAACTCTCTCTTTGTTCTGAAGGGAGGTCTGCTGTCACTCAAGGCTGTCATAGGCAGAAAAAGTTGCCTAGCAACAACATGTAGGGATGCGAAGCCCCTGTTTACTCTCCACCCCCTCACCTCATGTGCCCACTGCCCCCTTCTCTCGCACTCTCTGCCTCTGAGGTAGAGACAGAGTGGCATGGGAGGACAGTGGAGGCAGGGCGTTCTCCTGCCCGCTGATGAATCCAGACAACAGATACTGAGAGAAGGAGAGAAGGTGTGGAGGGAGAAGAGGAGGGGGACGGGGCGGGGAGACTGACATTCAGAGATGCTGTGTCTGCCTGTTGCCTGCCAGCTGCTGTTCCTCCCTTCCTCTCTGCAGGAGGAACAGGCCATTTCCCTAAACAACTCCTCTCCCACTCTGCATAACTAAGGAGAAAGTTGTCTTGCCACAGCATGCCGCTATCAGCAGGACTAAAAATACTGGACGCCAAATGTATCACATGCCTGTATGGCTCTCGTCACACCCTCCTGAGAGAGGGGCTCAAACTAAGTGGATACAGGTGCCTTTCGTTCTCTCCGGATTATTAAATGTCCCCTGGTGGAAGCAATCAGACAAAAAGCCTTTGTTTCTCACCACATTATGTTGTTTTAACTTGTTTGGTCCTGTAATTACGCAGCAAGGCTGAATGACTTCCACACTACCATACTGAGTGTAGCTGTCAGGTTGACCACAGAATGACAAGAGGTGGTTTTGTTTCGAGAGAATAGACTTGACTGCAGAGGTAAAGTAAGGATTTGTCAAAACACACCACACTAGAGATGCCGTTTGTACATAATTAGAACTAGTAACCCTTCATAGGTAAATTATTACTCTGGGTTTTTGACATTGAATCCTCCTTTACATTAAAATTAGCAAGTGTAAGTGTGGGTTAAAAGGTGGTTGATTTTTTTCCATTGCCAGTCCAGGAGTTTGCCTTTCTTTTTATTTACCCCGGTGCGTCACAAACGCACTGATAACTGAGGTGCTCTCTCACCTCGCTGTCTTGCCAAATTAGCACGTTCACCGAGGTGTCTTGTTTCCATCCCTGATGATCGGATCCCCAGTCGATTTTAAGCCTGTGTCAACTGCAGAGTCATTTGATCTGGGAGTAAATGCTGAGAGTATCCATGAGCCATGTGTTAGTGGGTTTTTTGACCAGTGGAAAAAAGGGCTTTAGTGCAATTGGTCGCTTTTATAAATCATCAGGTGTCTCCAGTAGAAAATTCTGCACTATGGCAATGCATCAAGGAATTGTTCAACATTATGTATCATACACCTATTATTTTTTGGATGAGATGCTACTACTCTAGTCTGCTAAACTTGAAGCTACAGGCTGGAGACACTCATAGAGCAGGCTGGAAATGTTATATTTTTATGCATATCTCTAAACTGTCTTACTAAACTTTAAAACGTGAAGTGCACTGTTAATTGCTCTAACAACCTCAAGTACAAAGCTTTCTCTAATCCAAAGACATTTTTGATATTTATTAAATAAGTTTAAAATGCCTTGTCGTGAAAGGGAAACGAATGGAAACTGGGAAACTCTTACCCAACAGGAACTTTGTGTCCTGCCAAATATTTCCATCTTCTATATGAATTCCTCCTTGAATAAAACAAACTACATCTCAAGTGTCTCAAGATAAACAGCCTGCCACTAAAAGTGCACTGTTTTTGTTAGATTTCCTCCTGTTTTATCATATGGAGTTATATGAACTTTGGCTGAGCCCAAAAAGTTCAGTATATATCTTTAAATGAGCCAAAACTCCATGAGCTATGAAAGATGTTTTTCTTTTTTAGCGAATGTAGGTCATCTTTACATCTATCGCTTTGTGTAATGAGTAGCCTTGGTATGTAAATTACCCATGTGTCCATGTGCAAACGAGCAGTGTTTGTGGGACAGCGTGTTTCTCTGCAGGCCCTGCTGCACATGTGTGTAGGCTGATGAATAGTTTGTCTGTTTGCTGGGATGCAGTGACAAGAACGGCTAAGTGTTACCTCCTGGGGCTTCCCACTCTTCAAATAAAACTCTTTTCCTTCCCCTCAGCTCAAATCAAAGCTGAGAACCTGCGAGCACAGGCTGGATCAAAGCCGACTGCGCCACAAAGACCTGCACTTGCTGCCATTCATTGAGCTTGATTAAAGTCTGTCATTTCCTGCTATTAACATGCTCCTACCTCCAACAAGAAACAGACAGAGCAAAGCAGTCATCAGGAAGTGGTTAAAATGACACTGTTGTGTTTTTCCCAATTAAGCTCCCTGAAACTCAATTATGTTGCACTGTGCAAGAGGAGAAATATATCATCAGAACTCAATTACCCCACAGAGTTGTTCTTTATTTAGCTTTTATGTGTCCAACGAAGACTCACTTCCTCAGAAATAACATACTTAACACATACCTGGTAATTAAACAGGTTTGGAGGGTTAAAAGCATCTTGCTCAAATGTTCCTCAATGGTTTACGGATGAGCTTTTTATATGTCTCACCACAGTTAACAGATTTCAACCATAAACCTACAAAGTCGCATTCTGCTTCACTGACTGCAGTTTGAGCATGACACCGAGCTGACCCCCAAACAACTAGTATCAACAAACAGCAGCTAATCAAACACACTCACAATGGCAGCTGAAGTTTGCCTGTTGCCTTCTGTAACAACATGAAATTTGAACGCAACAAAGGCGACAGTTTATGGGCAGCTGAACTGTGCTAGCGTTAGAGGAAAGGACTACTCTATAGATGTTATACAAAAAACACTAAAACTAGCTAAACATTTGAGAATTACAATAGAGCTCGACAAGTTGAGCCTTTCATAGAGATACCGCCATCTGTGTGTGTTTGCTGATATGCACAGAAATAAATAATAAAAAATATTTGAGAGAATAAACAATTATGAAAAGATATGTATTTGTTTATTTTGTAGTACTTGTGTTTTCTTTTTACTTACAGTTATCTATAATAAAGTAAAAATATTTGAGCCTAAAATATATATTTTAATATTTCTTTGTCATAAGGATTTGATAACGTCATCTTACGATGTATTGAATCAAACATGTTTTAATTCCTTATATCTGTCTCAGCGTTGTTTTTTTGTTGAGCTTTAGATTGTTTCTGTATATTTTAAATCATTTCAGCTCAGTAAAGCATATGTGAAAGTATCTTCTGTAACTTTTTAATAGCCCTTGAACTGATTATTTGCAGGTGCAGAATGCACATGAAGCGGGCATCTTGCTGTCAGCTGTAGTCTTTGCTGTGTGTTTCATTAGAGGACATGGGGCAGCACATGATTCAGTCTGTATTGGTGCTACTTCTTTGGCTTGTGTGTATGTCGGCTCTTAAACTCACAGCTGTTTGCCGTGAAGCAGTGGAGAGTAGCGCCCTGCAGAGATGAAGTCCTCCCTCTGAGGACTATCACAGCCTCTCTCCTCCCTCCCTTCCTCTTGTCTGTTGTTCCTGTCTCTGCTGAAGGTAAAAAATATGCAGGCTCAGCATATGGTATGTGGATTGAAGGATTACCCGTCTAGGAACATCTAGTTTTGATAACCATAAGAAAATATATGTTCGGCACCAAAAATCCTCCTCGATGTCGTTTTACATCTCAGTTCTCACGCTTCTCTCTGGAGCTCGAGGAAGAACAGGGTGTTTTGAGTCTGTCTCTGAGCCTCTCTTGTGATTGGAGTCCTGCATGGCCATGCAGGTCTGGTTCTGCTGCAAAACATCTAGATCATCATCTGGCAACATGGGGTCGATGTGTTGATACAATGTCCAGGTCCCACGCAGGAGTGTCGGAGTCCACCACCTCTGCCTTCAGCTCATTCTCCCACTCACTGCAGTGCCAGACTTCAAGTAAACACAGAGAAACTAAATCCTTGGGTGTTGAGTGTGGGTCGACTACATTGGAGCTGTGACTGAAGGTGGTGATAGTATATTCATGACATCTCGAAGTTAATGTTTTCAAAGTTTTTCGTGCACAGTTTCGGAATATAGGCTGTGTGCATTGAGCATTTTGGTATTTCACAGTATTTATATAGCACATAAACCTGCTTTATAAATCAACAAAGACAACCTCATTTCTACAATATGGAACATACATGAGGTGGTCATGCTTGCTGTGTCTTTGTACCAGGCTGTGGTTCCTCGAACAGCAAACAGATAAGTGGATTCTTTATCTCCCGCTGCTCCAAATGTCAGCCATGGCAAGGAACTTAGAAGGTCACTGGCTTGACCTGGGCATCTTTTCCCTACAACAATAGCTTCTTCCCCCCCCTCTCTTTTCTTGTTCTTCCTGTCAGCCAGAGAAGCTCTGAATGTCATGGTCCACCCCCTCCCCCCAGCCACCAACACTCAGCAGTCTCTCTCCCCCCACCACCCAGCATAGCCACCTACTTTCCCTTACATATGCTAATGCTGCAGTCTCATTCAGCTGTTGGTGGCTTTGTCACAGGGGGAGGGAGAGGATTGTGTGCATTAAGGGGCAGCTGTATGCATTTTGCTAAATTGACTCCCCGGTGGCTGCTAGTCTTGTCCTTATTTTACTCTTTTCTCCAGTTTCTTTCCGAACTAGTTGCTGGATAACCGTGCCAAAAGGAAGAGCTGTGGCGTTGTTGTTTATTTTCCTGCCTTTCTGCCAAGACGTGTGGTGGATTTCTCTCTCCCTTGTGTGTTTATGGGTGGTTTGTACTCAACAAGTGGCTGATGGATTTAATGCACTTGGATAGCGTCTCCACATTGGGCTCATTTCCACAGTGGCTCACAGGCCTTTGTGTCTTCTGCTCGTAGGATTTATGGCTCTGATGAAAAAGGACTTTCTTTAACAGGTAAGCATGGCAACTCTCGGTGTCTACTTTTGGTCTTCCATGGAATTATCTGTGAGGGGAAAATGCTTAATAATACATATAGACCTCATGTTTATTTGTATTTGTGAGAAGAATTAGACATTTATAAAGTGAGGAAAGGCTTGTTTTGCTGACAATGGTATGTGTGAGTAGTCTAGCCTGTGGTGTGTATCAGAGGAGGAGGCATTTTCTGGCAGACACAGAACAAAACGTTCTTTCAAGGTGAAGAAATGAGTGACTCATGTGTAGCTGTGCTCACTTCTGTCCTCCTCACTGTTATCTTCCCTTTGCATCCTCCGCTTGAATAAACCTTATTCTGCGTCAGCTGTCGAGCTCCAGCTGTTGTCTCGAAGTCCAAATTGTCTCTGGTATGCCAGATTTCTGTCAGTAAAACCAGGCCATGTGTGAAAATTAAAATTTGAAAAGAAAATGAGCACCTAGGAAGTGAACAAGAGGAGGGAGAGATGGTCCCTGGCGTCAACGTGTTCCAAGGTCGCTCAGCCGGATAGCGAGTATAGATTCTTCTCCCTGAAAGACGTGTGTGAATGTTGGTTCTCAGTCCTAACAGTGTCTCACAGCTTATACACAGCTTACCTACTTCCCTGCTCTGCTGCACTGTTTCTCAGTGATAATGTGTCTGGACTCTGACTGCCCTCAGCAGAGGAGCAGAAACATGGTCATTCCAAGAGCTCTGGATCTGCAACCCAAACAGCTCCTTTCACAGTTTGCGAGATGAGAGCGCACTTCTTACCATTTCTCTCCTCCTTGTTTTCTTTCTTTACTTTTTGCTGAGAGCGTGCACTCTGCTGACAGGCTGCCGCTGGTACTGAGGTAGCTGGCTAAACAGCAGGCGGCTGAGAAGCAGTAAAGGGGGGTGTGTGTGCTGATGGAAATAGGTGGTGGTTTTATTGTGGAGGCCTGCTGGGCCACATCAACCCTGCTCGTCATTTTCTATCTCCCCCATAGCACCGAAGACCTGTGAGGCTAGGCCCAGTTTTGGGATGGGGGGGACAGATGGTCCCTTTTGGAGAAGTGCCACAGCACAGTGCTCTGTGTTCACGGGGCTCTGCTGGAGCAGCCAAGAACAAACATGGTCTCCTTCTGTTGGGAACATGCAGAAGCCTCAGTCTGAGTGAGAAACCTGAAAAGACTGGGAGCGACATCTAAAACTAAGCACAAGTATCTGGGGAGTGATTCCAATGCTGGTTCTAACATAATGGTAACTGACATTCAGCTAAGTGCTCCATGATAGCACTGCAAGTCACATTTCTATTAACACAGTATTCCATTAGTCAAATTAGTCAGTATTCATTAATTTTGTATATACGAATAGGGACTTGCCACTTAATTCGTAGCCAAGTTTACAACATTACTTAAATCTTCTAACTCTGTGCATCATGGGTCTCTGTTATCGGTGAAGCTTGTTCTTTGTTCTTGTGTGAACAAACAGGGAACAATCTGTTGTCTTGTCTATTTTAATTCTCAGATCACCCTGAAACAACGAAAGGACAATGGCAGTGTGCTGCCTGGCAGGCGCTGGGCAGGTAGCCAGCTGGCGGAGCAACAGGGCAGGATACTCCCATTTTCAGTGGAGCCAGGAGGAGGTCTGCCTCTCTCCCACACTACATACGGCCAGCACCACCTCTGTTGAGCTGTTTTATATGAGGCTCAGTCCAACTTAAGATCAGGGGCTCTTTTCTATTCACAACACGACTGAACCACATTGCTCAGCTCCACACCTTGTCAGTGTGGTTATGTGAAGCTTACATCAGTGTTGTGACTTTGGGGAAGGTCTCACTTGATGGATTGCTGTTAGTGATTGTGTTAATCTTGGCGTGTGCAGGTGGTCATTCCAGTGCTACAGTTGATGCACTCGATGTATTTTATGTTTTCACAAGAAAATGACTGACGAGTGATGCATCCACTCAGTTATAACAAAGTGATCATTTTCAGGTCTGTTAAATCTCATAAAGAAGTAGCATTAATGCTGTATTTCATCTATTTACACACACAGACCTTTGCCATGCTATGATGCTCCACAATACAATCAATTACTTTGAAAGCCTCAATTGATGTTTCCAGAGCCATGAGAAATATGTGCAGTCATGTTGCATGGATCAGTATACACATTATTGGATTTACCTTGACTCCCTCTCCTTCTAGCTCACTGGCGTCCGTACACAATCATTGTGTTTCAATCCACTTTCTTTTCTGGCAGACTCATTTGTCTTTGTCTGTAACAAAGCATGTGGTCGATATTATAAGATTTGAATTGTGTGCAGGAAATTAAAAAAAATAATTTACCACTTTTCAGTTTCTGCCGGGTAAATACTCGCAACTCCCTGAACCAAGTGAACCGGAGTTTGATCACAGGTGACCTCCGTGCTTAAGACCCAGCTGTAGTGAGCACATTCCAGATGGAGCTACCGCTTGCACAAAGCGGAGCACACTCAGGGGTGCACTGGTGTAGGAAAACAGACTCGTGTTCATGTAAGCTGCCTCCAAGATAAGACAACAGCTAGAAATAACCACCAGTCCAAACCACAAAGTCCACGGCAAAGCAAACAGCTATCCTTTGTTTAATTTTACGCATGAGGGCATAACTGTTGACAGATGAGGTGTGGCGAGACGACTGTTGGAGGGCAGTGATCGAGTCAGGTTAGAGCTGCAGCCATTGGAGCAGATATCAGACGTTGTGGCTCATAACTTATCTCTTCAGCCTCTTGTTTTACAGCTGTTCTCTATCTTATATTTGTGGAAAGCGGTGCAGTTTTCCTTGGTTGTTTGCGAAGCATCTAAGTCTTATCCTGGTATGAAGCAGCTTCCTTTTCGCAGAGATTCCTGTCTCGTCGGCTCAACCCAGAGGAGAAACAGTTGAAAGGAGTTTTATATAGATCAAAATGCAGACCGAGCATACAGAGTCTCTTCTGAAGTAGCACTCATACCAGAAGTTGGACTCCTGCAGACTCTGCTGTACATGTTTGATCAAGGCTGTCCTCCCTTAAATCTGTGCACCTGGGGGCACTGACTGGGCATTAGCGAACGTGGGCATTTCCCACAGTGCATTGTGAGGCCGAGCGCTGGAGACATGATGAGACAGTGAGCATATATGTTTACTCTGCACTGTCTGACCTCCTTTTTATCTCTTCTTCTGATTGTTCTAGTGCTGTTGGGTCAACTCAGGTCTGTGTGCGCTGAGATGTAAACAAAGAGCCTCTAATCGTCTCTCGCTCCCACAGAAACTGCCTCTGCTTAGCCACTCTCTGTTTATGAAAACACACACACATAAACACACACACTGTGTGTTTGTGCGAGTGTGTGATTGTGGGCATCACCAGGTAAATTAGATCATGTAAGACTGGTCAGTGATGATGACATGACACTTGTATAGTTTCAGTGGAAGATTTTTGCTTAGAGACACAGGAAACATGCACAGGCTGAGATGAGATTGCAGATAAGACTTTCAAAAACAGAAAACATCCCAAGCTGCTTGAAAATGTCATGTGGTTATTTAGATGTTGCTTTTGGGTGCACATATGAAACCAAGATCAATAAATCCAAACGACTTTGAAATAAATGTTTTGCCTCCGCTAAGGAGGTTATATTTTTGTTGTCTGTTAGTTCGCAGGATTACGCAAAAGCCACTAGACTGGATTACCACAGAACTTTGCACGAGGATGCAGTGTGGTCAGGGAAGAACTCACAAATTTTTGGTGTGGAGCCAAATAAATGGGCGGATCCAGGAATTTTGTTTCACTTTCTCTGCAGTGCTTCCAATAAAACTCATTCAATCGTATGCCACGTACACAGACTAGAGAGTGAAAGACAAGTTCTCGAGTGCCACTTGTAAATTAGGTCACAACTGCAGCTGAAACTATGAGGTCTGTCAATGTGGATGGTAACATCTTTTGGACATTATTAAGAGCAAGCACGTGGCAAATAGTGCTGCACACAGCTATACAATGCAGCAATGGAGCAGAACACCAAGTTAGAGATTACTTACTTTATTAAGAAAGGTTGAAAGAAAAAAATGTTTTTAACTGTGGCAGGACAATCTAGAATACAGCGGGCCACCACAGTCTGCATAATTATTGGGAAACACTGCTTTGATATTGTGATATTGATATTAGCCTTGGTGGAGGTATGAGCTCTCAAAGCACTTTTCTAGTTTCATTTATATGTTCCACAAATACACAAGGATCTACCGAGATCCAAGTTTTTTATATTGAAAACTAGTTAAAAGCAGATGGTACTTGTCTGCACATCACACCTTTCATATTGCCTAGAATAGATGTTATGTGTAATATTTAAGCATTTGCAGAAATCTGATATTATCTATCCTGGGCCTGAATCTTAGCCAGAATGCAAAACACAGAGTTTGCCAAAAAGTCAGTGTCTGAAATACCCTTTTATTGGAATTAATAAATTCAATAAATTACATCAAGCTTCCATACTTGGACTGCTTATTGCTTGTTAAACATAATGAATTGGTTTTTGAATTTGATAAATAGCAGATGCTTTTTAATGAAAAGGGTCACTTGTTTTTGGCACAGCTTCAAAATAGCTGGCACACATTCCATTCCAAACACTCATCTGCACCAATCTTCACTTCTGTTTGCTTGTTTAGTTAATGGAACACACATCATCTCCACGTCTGCTTTCTGTTGTTCTAAAGCGGCACCAGGACCACGTCAAAGTAATCTTCTCCCTCCCCGTCATATGGGCGAACTACTAATGCATCTGGAGCTGGTGCATCTATTTATAACAAATTTCATCATGAGGATTTCTGACCTTACGTCTTCGTGACTCTGTGAGGACAGACCTCAATTCCCAACAGCGTTTCATTTCAACAGGCAAATTTGATTTCAAATTGGATATCCCAGAGCTCAAATTGACAGGAAGTGATTCTTTAGAAGGAGAGGGTCTGATACAGGGGGGGCTAGTGGGCCAATGGTGGATGAAGTAGAAGCTGATGTTGACAA